GGAAATCGGGCGAGAGCTCGGTGAGAGGAGTCCGCTGATTATAGCGTGTCATCTGATTTGGGGCAAGAGAACAGGAAAGGAAGAAAATGCTTTAAAACGTAAACCGGCTCCAAGTCGGAAGGCTGTGGTTTGACAGCGCCTCAGGAGCCTGAGTTGATGTACGTGCTGGGCTTGCGCAGGCAGGGTCAATAAAACTCCTCTGTGAAACACCAACCTTATTCTCGGTTATAGAAGAATGAGATAAAAACCTAAGTGAAATGTTTACATATTTTTAAATCTGAACTTTAATGTTTCTACTTTAATACTACTGCATGATTTAGTATTGCTAGCAATATTTGTTAGTGTTAATGTTGTGGCTTCATCTATATGCTTATTAATGTAGTGTTGGTTTAGTTGATGCTTACAATGGTCAGCTTCAGGCTTTAATCTTACATTCTTTGCTATTTTGTTTCCCACGCAGTGGAATGAGATTACGAAATATTTCCGAGCAGGCATGCCGTTGAGGAAACACAGGCAACATTTCAAAAAACATGGAAGCTGTTTTACTGCATCGGAAGCTGTAGACTGGCTCCATGAAGTATTGAGGAATAACAGTAACTTTGGTCCTGAAGTTACTAGGCAGCAGACGGTTCAGTTATTAAGAAAGTTTCTCAAGAATCATGTAATTGAAGATGTAAAAGGGAGATGGGGATCTGAAAATTTAGAAGACAATGGTGTGCTATACAGGTACTGAAATGAAGACCAGTTAACAGAGCTCTTCAGGTTAAGAACCTTATTGAAAAATCTTAATGCTCAGATTCCCAAAAATATCTTCCTTTGGGTTGAGCAGTTGGGCCAAAAATCAATTACTAGCGCCATTTTACTCCACTCACTGTTTTACTTTCCTCTGACTTGCAGTTTAGACCATACATCCTGTATGCTGAGGGCTGTTCCCATGCTTTTGTTGATCCATGTTTTTCCCTGGCATGCATGCTACGTGTGCTCAAGTGCTTTGGAGGGGAGCCAAGGAGAATTTATTGTAGTAGCTGCATGCCGTGCTGCCAGTCCTGTGTTTACTTCTCTTGCACGTTTTACGGACAGTCTAAGTGGGAAGCAGTCTTTCTGAAGTTCTTAAATTAAAAGTATTGATGGCCCTCACTTTTCAAATTCTGTTCTCAGTGCTGTATAAATATCTGAGTATCATCCACTTGACTTTGGAATCAAGAAAAGTACCCCAAAGCTAATTTATAGTCTGATAATGTTAAACAGCCTTCTAAAGAGAACATATCAGCACTTTTCTTTTTCCTGTGTCTTTTCAGAGCCTTATGGAATCATACTGATAGGCTATAGTTTTGGTTAAGTGACGACTTAGATTTTTAATCTATTATAAATGTATTTAAGATCTTTCCTGTTCATTGCAGATTTCCTTCAACATCTCCAGTTAAACCTCTGCCAAGCTCATATCCACCAAAAGAGAACTTGGAAAGCTTCTCTAGGGACAAAGAAAGACTTTTTAAACTGCCACATTTATCCAGGAGAACTTTTAAAAAACATGAGTTACTACAGTCTCTGGTAATAACTTATATTTCTTACATAATTACAGTTGCCATGTGTTTTCTTTATTCTTAAAAAAAAAAAAGCAATTGTCTTTTAGTGGCATTGTTCTGTTGTATCATCTTCCCTTGTAGCTTAAGAAATAAATTGGTAGGTTCTTCTAGACAGTGAAATAGAATGTGTATATAGGCATAATAGAAAGATACAGCTATATTTTTGTAATGAAGTATCTTGGTGGTGCGTGCTGTTCCTCTTCTTCAATGTACAAAAAGAAATTGTATTAACCTGTAAATACTCAACCATAATATATACATGTAAAATCATAGTTGTAACTAATAGGGCATTTTTGAAATGCTGGCAGCAAGTGAAAGGGATTATGCATTTGACAGGAGAAATTAAGTATGCTTTTGAAACTATGAAACAGTTTCTTCTAAACTTACTGGCAATAGTTTCTTGGGAAGAGAAATGGAGGGCAGTGTGTTACTAATGCAGCCACCTTACTTAGAAAGGTCACTTGACACACAGACACAGGCACACACCCCATTGTAGTATAGGGTTCATTTTGCATCAATATGATCTGAGATGGCGCAGAGTTTTGTGTATATATGTGTAAGCAATTGAGCATCTTAGGTCACCA